GCAATTTACAAATATCTTTTTTTAAATATGATAACAAGTTCAAAAATTCATAATAATATAAGTTTCGTACATAACATTCAATACAACGGGTAAACTTTAATAGTTTAAAGGGAGACCGCGATTGTTTTTATATCTTATGATATAACATACATGAGTTATCTACTGTGAAAATTTCAAAATAATAACCATCCTTATACGAATATAGCCGTATTTTACAAAAATGAAAAGGAACTCTACTAAAGTCCATGACATTTTATTTTTTTAACATAAATTACCTTAGACTGCTATGAGTGTGATCGTTATACGATGCTTAACAATTTTGGAACATTTTCTCAAATAGAGTTAATATTCTGAGAAAACGGCGAGAGCGATTAATCAGAAATTTTGCACACATTTTGCTATTTGGTGTAGATCGACATCAAATTAAACATTTCTCTCGATAAAAAATCCAGTCATGTTATGTAAAATTACCTCAGTTGAGTCCGTAAATTTGTCATTTTTTAATTTGTGTTTTACTTCATATAATAGTACATAAGATGTGGATGATGATATGGTACATATATTTGAAGTATGAAATAGATCCCTTAAGAAATAAAGTAGTAACAGTAAAAAATAATATTATTAAGGAATATTCTAAGATCAAGGGGAGGTAAATCTGAAAAAAAATTGGTGCTATTGTTATGAACCTTGTCACATAAGATGTGGATGATGATAAGGTATATATATTTGAAGTATGAAGTTGATCCCTTAAGAAATAAAGAGGTTACAGTAAAAAGTAGTCTTTTTTAGGTTTTTTTTCTAAGTTCAAGGGGAGATAAACCTGTAAATATTGGTGCTAGAGTTATGAACCTTATCTCATAAGATGTAGTTGGTGATAAGGGACATATATTTGAAGTTGATATCTTAAGAAATGACAAAGTTATAGTGAAAAATTCTTAACTGCACCAAAACTTTAATCTGAAATCTGGACGCGGACGCCGACGCCTGGGCGAGTAGGACAGCTCTCCATATACTTCGTAAAGTCGAGCTAAAAATTGAAAAAGTTCATACCGTCAAAAATCTTGACGATAGTGTTGTGATAGCAGAGATCTAATTCTGTGAGGGGAGATCACTGTGTTGGAGTCTAAGAAAATTTCAATGGATTTTCTGGGTTTTATTTATGTTTCGTTCGAAAACAAATATGAAAAAAAAAATGCATCGAATTTGCAAAAGGCGTTGTAAATATGGAAGAACATTTTCTCCATAAACTAAATCTAGATCCGTTTTATGCCCTTAACTGTTCACAATAGGAGAGAAGATGTGCAAGCGGCAGGAAGGCTCAGTCGGTTTCCCCCTTTTTACTTTGTCTTTTGTATGATCATTTGAGTATACATGTATTTGGTTCTTATAAATTTCTATTTCTATTTTATGTTTCTTTTTTATTTCATTTTTGTTCAACTCTTTAGAAACTAACTACATTTCAAGTGATTGTTTTAAATTTTGTTTAACATTTAAAATCAAACAATTTTAAACACACTACGATTACGATATATTAATAATTTGAATATATGGATCAATACATAACACACTTCATTTCATTATTTTTTTTACTTTCCTGATAAATTAATGCTTTTTCCGGATGTTTGACGTTTTCCCCAAACTTAACACAACTGCATAACTACCTATGTACAAAAATATTCTATCTCATGCATTTGTAACTATTTGAAACAAAACTTGTCAAATAAGAAAAAGATACAAAAACACTCAAATGTAATGGTACCTAACTATGATACGAGTATCTAAATGCATGAAACAACACTGACAGGAACGCTCTGCTACTGCGCTATCAAGCAACATAAAAAAACGTCATTTATAGGCTTCAGTCTGCTTTACCTATTATTTTTTTCGCATTGTTATTAATTTTTACGTAAACATAGGCTCAAGTTATCGTCCATGAACAGTTCTTCGTCAAAAATGCCCCCAGGTTAAAATGTGAAAACAACGTGTGAAAAATATCTCCAATATTTAACGTATATAAAACGTTTTTGAAACGTTCATGTTTTGCAAAATTAAAATAATTCTGTTATATACATAAAATGAGAAGAATAAACAACTTTAAATTCAAAATTTTCCAAAAAGTTATATATGATCTTTTTAAAATTTCATAGCGGACTTAAAAAGATATAAACTGATAACCCGCTTGGTTTGCGTAACTATTGTTGTATATGAACCAATTTATGACATATCTGTGAAAACTAGCCTCCTTATCAATAACGTAAGGCAAAGGCATTTTTTCAGTCTGCCCTTTAATAAAAGGGCGAACATCTCTTGTCACTATCTCGTAAGAGAAGGGGAATCCTGTGATGCGTGTATGTTGTCGCACGGTCACTTTCTTTCAAACATGCCCTCGATGCATGTATGTGGTCGCATGGTATATGATGACAACGGTAACAAAGGCGTTTTGGTACAGATTTCAAAATTATATTTAGGAGAAATAAAATATTTTAAGGAGTTGAGGTCACTCTAACCGACTCTTCTTTAGCGCAACAGTAGCCTCCCTTTTGAACCTTTACGCCATTTGCAATGTTATCAAGGGAGGCCACTCTAATCAACCTTTTTGAGCGCAACAGTTACCTTCCTTTGAACCCTTACGCCATTTGCAATATTTTCAGGGGAGGTAATTCTTACTGACTCTATTTTGATCGCAAAAGTTACCTCCCTTTAGAACCTTAAAGCCATTTGCAATTTTCAAGGTACGTCACTCTAACCGACTCTTTTTTAGCGCAACAGCTACCTCCCTTTTTAACCTTTACACCGTTTGCAATGTTATCAGGGGATGTAATTTAAATTGACTTTTTTAACGAACACAACTTTAACTTCCCTTTTGAACCCCACGCCATTTGCAATGAATACGGGAGAGGTCACTCTAACCTACTCTTTTTAAGCGCAACAGTCACGTCTCTTTTCAACCCTTACGCCATTTGCAATGTCAACAGGAGAGGTCACTCTTACTGACTCGATTTGTAGCGCCACAGTCACCTACCTGTGGAACTCTTACCAAATTGCAATGTTATCAGGGGATGTCACTCTAACCGACTCGATTTGTAACGCATCATTCACCTTCACGTGGAACCCTTACCCATTTGCAATAATATCATGGGAAGTCACTGTAACTGACTCTATTTTGAGCGCAACAGTAATCTCCCTTTTAAACCCTAACGAACCCTTACGCCATTTGCAGTGTTGTCAGGAGAGGTAACTCTAACTTCTCATTGTGTAACATAAAGATACACGCGTCTAATTTTTGATTGATCTTAAGGAGTCTGGAAACGAAATATCTACATTCATTAGTTCTTTTACTATCGATTTAAACATATATTATGCTCTAATTTATATTATTGGGAGATTCGAGGACGATTAGTTGTCGGACAACGCCAACCTGAATGAAAGCCGATATTCTAAATTCTAATCCACACCATAACATGTGCTGGGGCAAATAATAACCTTTTGACAAGTCCTGCTTTCATTCAAGCACTTCCGTTGCTCAACATCCCATCGACCTAAATATTACATAAAACTGTATGCAAGTTAACAACATTTATTCAACAAATATGCAAGCAATAGCAGATTTCCTATAATCTTCTGTCTGGATGTATTTGGGCATGGTTCCCGCGCTCATCATGTTAACCCTACTAGGTTAACCAGTCACCAAACAAATAGTCGTTAGGGGCGACGTTAAAGCAATCCGTTAACTGTCCAAAAAGCAATACACAACAATACTCCCGAATTGGGGCTTTAAACTACGCCTGAACTGAGGCTGAAAATACGCCCGAAATGGGGCTTTAAAGTGAATGTCATTAAAGGCTAATTGACTGCTCGAAAATGTTTAAATGAGTTAACTTTAGCACTGAATATATGTGCCCCAAGGGCTTTAAAACAAATCAATACTGAGCCCCAAAGGGCTTTAAACAAATCAATACAACTAAATGCACGGTTTTAAACTTTTTGCCGTAAACATTAGCGCCTGATCCTGGGAATCAGCGACCAAGTCATACGTCTATGGTAAAACCATCACTTTAAATTACTTCATTAAAAGACCTAAGTATAGTAAGTCATGTTCGGAGTTAGCTGTCTGCCAAATGGCAACGACGCTGCCAATTATAACTTTTGGACGTGACGCTTGCCACCGCCAAAAGAGAGACAATATTACACTTTTGGAAACAGCGACCATCCGAACATAAAACCCAAATTAAAAATAAAAACGGATTGCCTGATGAGAACGGGAACCAGCATTATCACACTTGTACTACTCAAAGCAATTACAACTACCAGACACAAATGCTTCTAACGCAGACGATATCTGTGCCAGAAACAAACAATTACCAAGGAAGGACAAATGCACTCCATCAGCTGTAAATATTGCTGGAGTAACTTGGCTAAGGTCAGGGTGTTTTAAGTAAAAACCACCGTTTTCAATTACTCTTTTGGCCGCATAACTATTTACCCTTTTTCGTACTAATTCCATTGCAGCATGATTATCGGAATATCGCCATGCATTGCGTGGAAGTATTTGGGACCAAATAATCTTACATTTAAAAGTAACAGAAATGAACTTGATAATGATATCAATTTGTGAACGAAATTCTTTTAGATCAATCCGTCCGAAATCATTACACCCACAGTGTAATAAAATTATGTCGGGAAGATCTCTGACTCTCTTTAAGGTCTTCAATTTACTGACAACATCCAGTATAGACATTCCGCTGTAGCCTTGCCACCAAAGATTAATACACTTCAAATCTAGGTTTGCTCCGCCAGGCCTTCGCCTTGCTACCGTAAATGCTTGCTTTATGATAGATGATCCAATCACCCAAACCTTTACCGCGCCTAAAATAACTTGGCTTGAATTAATTTCTAAGGAATGGCACATGCCGGTTAGCATAAAATTTATTGGCACATGCAGGTTAGAATAAATATTGATTGACCTTATATATTTATATATATACACTCATAAAAAATTGCTACGATGCCAAACAGGGCAATGTGTGAACATCCTCTTTTTTAAGATAAACTCGATAAGCCTCGGAACGCCAACGCCCAGCACGCTTAATTGTTTCAACATCGTAACCTAACATAGCTGCAGCCGTTGCCGCCCCTATTCTAAAAGAATGTGATGTAAACTTCCCATAATCAAGCCTTAAATTGTTCAAACATTTCTTCAAAACAGAAGTGAACTGGTATCGTGTTAAAGGTTTACCATTCAAGTGACAAAATAATGGCCCGTCTACTTGTGGGCGCCTTTTCAAGAACTCTAACATATTACTAACAACACAGATAGCAGAATTAGACCGCTTTATCTTTAAAACCGAACCTCTTCCATACTGATCTGTTTTAGAATACCGAATAGTAACTATGATATAACCTTCACTACTATCTACCAGTAAATCAGATATTGAAATTACGTTTGCAGCTGAGTCTTTGTTTGATACAGCCAATTCACTCACTCTAAGGAAGGCAAAAAATGCAAGACAATAAGCTGCTGCAATCAATGACTTTCATACAAATGAACACACCACAGGCAAAACTGACAAAATATGTTGCAATATATTTTGAGTTATTGGTAGTCTTGACTCTCTTACTCGGGCGGACCTCTTCAAACCCTCTAAAAGCTTGTCAATAATGTAATGCCTTGAAACATCACAAACATTGCTAACCTTGCAACGAAATCCAAGTGCATTAACATATAAACAGGCAGTTGAAAATGCCCTTTCTTAAAATGATAACCAAGAGATAAACATGACTATTTGCTCCAGTGTAGGTGGCCAAACTGACTGTATGCTGTAACTGTTCCTAAAACGTTCAAAACAAGTAGGCCCCGTGTTGTAAGCACTAACAGTGTTATCCGCAAACGAAGCGTTTAACAATCTTTCAGCTTCAGATTGAACATCATTGAACGAAAACGATCTGGTATCTGTACTGGTTCCTGGTTTGCCTCTGGTGCCAGCTTTCTCAATATTGAGGACCCTGCACTATCAGTAAATAACTGCAAATTACTACTATGTAACCATATGTCATCTGGGATATAACTGACACCATTGTTTGAATCCAAAAATGTGAGCCACACAGTTAAATCAAGTCTTACCGCTTCTGAAATTCGAAGCCTATAATAAGGCTGTTTAACATTTGCCATAACATCGTAGCATCTACGCAAAAATGCCCTACTTGAACGTATTACTTGACTGCAAAAAGACATTTTTCCTACTAATGACTGAAAATTTTTTAGAGTAACTTTCTTTCTCAGTAGAACCTGTTTAATAGCTTCTCGCAACTTATCCACTTTATGCAATGGAATTATGATCATATCACAGGAATCAAGCTCAAGTCCTAAAAATATCAACTTTGTGCAAGGACCCACTTATTTCTCTTCAGCAATAGGAACACCCAGCAAATAACATACCGATGAAAATGAACTAATGATATTATTACAATTGTTTGTTTTATCCGCTCCAGCCAAAATAAAGTCATCCAAATAATGGTTTAATGTATCTTTTTTGTGAAACACATTCGACAAGCCATTGCAAGAATATAGAAAATTTCTCAAATAATGCCAAGAAATTCTGCACCCCATTGGCAAAAATTTATCTATATAAATATTCCCATCATTGTCCTTTAAACCTAATAAACAGAAATCTTCTGGACAAATAATAATGAAATCAAAACATTTTTTGTGCCTTTTGCACACTAACCCCATACATACTAGCAGACGCACCTATACATAATAACCAAATCTCATAGTCAATATTGCTGAAAGATATACCAGTTGGATCAGAGGCCAGGCGCAATCTAAACTGTTGGTCATAATGTTTCCAACCTAAACCAAAATGCCTTTTCGATGCCGTCCTAATGGTGCTTATGTATTTAAACAGTTCTTGCGTTCTTTGAGGATGTGCCTCCAGAAAAATTGAGGCGTAAACCAAAAATGCATCGGACCATACTTCAACACTGCCTATTGCCTTAGAAGGTAGTGTAGACTTAACAAACAATTGGCCAGATTAACCAAACTCTAGGCTTTTAACTTCATTCTCACTCGGCTGAGCCTCGAGCAGCAAGGCTAAATCGACATACTGGCCTGAAATATTTTTCAATGCATTACTCATGATTACTGACATGAAACCCCAACTGATTGTGTACACTTGAAAATTGATAAAAGTGTTGCAATTTTCCATACTTGTGGCTACATTAGGCAATGTTGTTTGAATGCTACTGCTATCTCCAACTAAATTAAAATTACCATTTTCCATTGATGTTTCTTCTGCAGATGCAAACGTTGAATTCTGCTGCCTAGTTTCAGTCTGCGTCCCTGTCGTAATTGCAACAGATTCATTCAAGACCCTAGCGCTACCCGCTCTTTTCGTCGCCAAAGCCTACGGTAAACTTAAAGGGGTGCATGTAGACCGCCTTGCTGTTCGCTTTGTCTTTCCCATGCTCCGTGTGAAATTAAAAAAATAATTGAATTACAAACTCACGCGATTACAAATTAAATATTAATCTTATTTCTTTCTAATTGTGCCGTTAAATATTATGGATGTAAGGATGTAAATGCCTTGTCTAAAAAATTCTACTGAAATATGATAAAAAAAGATCAAGTCAATGAAGCCCTATAATAAAAATAAGAATATCACCTAAATAGCAAACTCATCTGATTTAAATAATCAAACTCGTTTCACATAAATACTTTATCTTATAAAATCAAGTTTAATTACGATGTAAATATGCACTGTTTCAATTATTTTTAACAAAATTCCCGTATCTGTTTAACACTGACCTGATCTCATTCAATTGAAACATAAAAAGGGAAGGAGTAAGGCGGTGCACCGGATACTGTATATTGTAGGCAAGGCAAAATAATCCCGGTGAAAATTATCGAATTCCAATAACGCACAGCTATCGATTAACGATAACAGTTATTATTATTTTTTAATTGCTACAAAGGTTCTGTGTATATATAAAATAAGCACGTTTTGACTTGATACAAAGTAAATATGTCATGTTTAAAGTTATGTCCATTATAGGTGGTCACAATATTAATAGTGTCATTTAAAAACTGACAGTTGTTTAAAGAAAGGACCAACATTACTTGTCCCGTAATAAGGAACGCAGCTTCTCATATATAGTTTATCAATTTTTTATTTAAATTAAACGTATTGGTTTCATTTAATTTCTGGGATTAAAATATTTTACTCAAGGATAACCTTAGTACAACTTAAGATTTCACACCCTAAAGTTCTGTTTAACCATGCCTTCTCCTACACATTATAAGTTCTATATTTCCATGTATCAAACAGATTATTTTACGTTGTTTTCGCAATCGAGTTATAGATTTTGTCACACATTAGTGAAAACCACCACTTTCAACTTCGTCCACTTTCCCGTTTACTCATTTGCATGAAAATAGCACACAAGAAAACGAATTTATCAGACATTATCAGATATATACAAAGTTTATAATTTTCATGTATTTAACATATAAAATTATTTATGAAGTATTCATTTAACCGCTAACGATTGAATGGTTTGCTTACATTAAATGTTTGACAAAGTATTTTAGATCTGAAGGCTCTCTTTCGTTCTTTTTCTCGGATTTTCTCGGATTTAAGGCTTCTTTCGTTATTTCCAAAGGTGTTGCAAACTTGTTATTTCGGGTATTTCGTATCAACAAAACGTTGTAATTTATAAACTTTCAATTAAAATTTCGATTGGAACAAACTTCAATAACTTAAACGTTTTTCTTTGAGCTAAAACGACATTCACAATAATATAAATAAAAGAATCACATGACGGTAAAAATGAACTGAGACTAAAATTTTGAGTACGAAATGAATTGTTTTGTTTTGTTTATTTGTTGTTCTTATTTACTTCTTCATTCCTTTTTAAGGATTTATTTCAGACTTAAGATTTTGATTAAAACTTTGTATTTGCCAACATATGGATATGATTTTAATATTTCAAAACATTAAACGTATAAATCAATACTAGGCTCAACCTCATAATTCTTAAGATTCTGTGTATATATAAAATAAGCACGTTTTGACTTGATACAAAGTAAATATGTCATGTTTAAAGTTATGTCCATTATAGGTGGTCACAATATTAATAGTGTCATTTAAAAACTGACAGTTGTTTAAAGAAAGGACCAACATTACTTGTCCCGTAATAAGGAACGCAGCTTCTCATATATAGTTTATCAATTTTTTATTTAAATTAAACGTATTGGTTTCATTTAATTTCTGGGATTAAAATATTTTACTCAAGGATAACCTTAGTAACAACTTAAGATTTCACACCCTAAAGTTCTGTTTAACCATGCCTTCTCCTACACATTATAAGTTCTATATTTCCATGTATCAAACAGATTATTTTACGTTGTTTTCGCAATCGAGTTATAGATTTTTGTCACACATTAGTGAAACCACCACTTTCAACTTCGTCCACTTTCCCGTTTACTCATTTGCATGAAAATAGCACACAAGAAAACGAATTTATCAGACATTATCAGATATATACAAAGTTTATAATTTTCATGTATTTAACATATAAAATTATTTATGAAGTATTCATTTAACGCTAACGATTGAATGGTTTGCTTACATTAAATGTTTGACAAAGTATTTTAGAATCTGAAGGCTCTCTTTCGTTCTTTTTCTCGGATTTTCTCGGATTTAAGGCTTCTTTCGTTATTTCCAAAGGTGTTGCAAACTTGTTATTTCGGGTATTTCGTATCAAAAAAACGTTGTAATTTATAAACTTTCAATTAAAATTTCGATTGGAACAAACTTCAATAACTTAAACGTTTTTCTTTGAGCTAAAACGACATTCACAATAATATAAATAAAAGAATCACATGACGGTAAAAATGAACTGAGACTAAAATTTTGAGTACGAAATGAATTGTTTTGTTTTGTTTATTTGTTGTTCTTATTTACTTCTTCATTCCTTTTTAAGGATTTATTTCAGACTTAAGATTTTGATTAAAACTTTGTATTTGCCAACATATGGATATGATTTTAATATTTCAAAACATTAAACGTATAAATCAATACTAGGCTCAACCTCATAATTCTTAAGATTCTTTTTCCATGTTTCCTAAGATACGATATGCAAATAAACCAGTTTTAGTTCGGCCGAGTATCTTTTTTAAAGATGCTTCTTGTTTAATTTATTTTTAAATTTTTATAAATGTTTTATTCTCTTTAGGTGAATGAAATTGAACAAAACGCAGGGCACAATCGGGTGCAATTAGCTGATACATTTGAAATTCGTTACATACTTAACATCTTTGAAAATCCCCTACTCGGAACTAGTTAGCTTAGAAATGGTAACAATCGGAATAATCAGGGTTACACAGTTGGTACACTTTTGTTACAGTACTTATATTTGTTTAAAACATTTTTTACTTTAAAACACTTTTTATATGTTTGAAATTTCAAAATATAGGCCAAAAGTAAGAGATAGTGACATCAGAGTTTACAGTTGTTATATGCCTTACATAGATTTTATATTAATTTTACTAGACATTATAGTTCTACCGAAAAATAATTATTTCAATAAAATTCCATTCAGTTTTGTTATGTACAAAATTGAAATAAAAAAAAACCTGAAAAGATATACAATACCAAACAATAGCATACGAAGCATCAAATTGTGCATTAGTTCAAACATTTACATAGATAAATAAAAAGATATATTTACTATATTGATTGTAAAATTACGCTTTTTGACGTCAAAGTAACAAGACAATATCCCATTCTTCTGGATGTATCTTTATTGTGTTACCTGCATGCATATAAAGTTCTCTATAACATATACGTAGGTAAGTAATATAAATGTCATTTTCTGATCACTGAATATAAATTATGTGCATGTAAACTATTATGTACATGTATATACTCTTACAAATTTGAAAAGGAGAAATAAGTTACTCAATCACAAACAATGGTAAGAACACAAAGGTAACTATAAACATCTGTGACATAATATTTGTGATAATAAAACACCACCACCAACAACAATAATAATAATAACAACAACAACAACAAAAACAACAACAGAAAAAACAAACAAAATCAAATCTAACTGGACATTATATGGATAAGCAATACATTTATATAATATTATGTACAAATACACAGATCAATCTATGATTGATAAAAATATCTGTACATAACTAATAATGATTTGTATTTTTCTTGCACGTAATGACACATAAGTATACTATGAAGACATGTTATAGATATACAGTCTAATAACTCTCATAATACTGCAATGTTGATTTTTTATATTTATTTAGCTTTATACTATTTAACTACACATTTGCTGAAAATTTAAGATACATTTTTTTAAAAAGAAGGTCAGACAAATTATTTTGTTGACGATTGAGTACATATTTGCAATTTATCATTATGTAATGGTTTGATTTAAAATATCAGCGGTTGTAAAAGTTATATTCACGAGCGAATAAAACATTTTTATAAAGAAAACGCAAAATGTAGAAAACAAGAGATGATTTAGATAAAGTGGAATAACGCTACGTATTAAAATCAGCATTAAGCTGTTAAGGTTCATGACGCGGAAGAAAAATAAAATCGCTATTTCTGATAAAAAAGACCTATTGATGTCTTTGTTTTATCATAGTCAGGCATGTTTTAGGTACAGGGTTGTTTGATAGTATGTAAAGTATGTTATATATCGCTGACACATTATTTAACGGACGATAGATATCCATATTTGATAACTATCGTGATTTAGGTACATATAATTAAACACAGTCATGGTGTATGGTATACATGTAGGTAATATTTCGTAATGTTTCATGTTGTATAGCATTAGGTTATTAAACATAAAGATTAAGTACTATGCATGGCAGTCTAAACACTATTTTGATTACGTTATTCATGTTTTGCTCTTTTTACTACAGATAATCTCACAATGAGCGCTACTTCAAAAGGTAAAAAGCATTAAAGCTGCACGCCTCCAGATGAGCCAAATATCTCAAGAAAATCAATATTGAGCAAAATGTACTAACATTTTAAGAAAGGTGAAAAAATTCAAGATCCAAGTTAGATTTTTCATGTTATGTGCGGTTTAAGACTAATTTCGA